CTGGTTCATTTTCTGTTGGTGGAGTGGCAACGACCCTCTACTCTTGAACTTTCAAGGCTCTTATTCGTTGAAGCCTTCAGAGAGAAATCGGGGTATCACCCCAACATAGGGAGTGAAGCAGTGTCAAAATACCCAATCAGTTAGTTGGGTCGGCATCGGTCCACCTAGCCAAGGCTTGTCTAAAAACCCAAGCATCCCATCCTTTTGTCTTGGCGATCCTACAACACTTCTCTTCTATGCCCCTTGTAGTGACCTTTAAGCCACTTTCTCCGCCTCTTTCTCAGTATTTCCCATTGAGTCATCCCTCGTCTGTTTTGCTGCCTTTTATGAGGCCCAGGAGTTCAAGCTTTCCCTTATGCTTGTGTTCTTCCCCCTCTTGGTCTGGTTTACGGTGCACCCACTCGAACCAGTTCTTCCTTCTTTAGCTTAGCAGCAGGTATGTGAGTCGGAGGTTTAGCATGAGCTGATTAGCTGGATTGGGGTTCGACCCCTGCCACAGAAACATAGGCTTGGGGTGAGGTTCATTCTTTTTCATGAAATAGGACAGCTCTTCATATCTCTTATAATAATAATGAGTTGGTCTCTTTTTCCACAGACTACTTCTCTCTATAGGCTTTCGCAGCATTTCTGTTCCGACATTGAATAGAGTTCTGATCTTCCGACATCTCACTCGTAAACGTCTAATCTGCCTTCCCTAAGCTTCATGTCTTCTCGCACGCGCGCACCAATCCTGGGTAGCATTCCGTGCTTGACTATTACTGGTATCTGTTTAAGTCCTATTGTAAGACCTATCTGCACTACTACCTCCTTCCTTTACCTCTCTCTGCTGGTCCGGGTACTGGTGTATTTCTTACTAGTGCTTATGGTAGTAGGCCGGCACGCAAGCCTTAATGATTGTTTTTTTTGACAGCGGATTACGCGAAAGAATTCATAGTAATTGAGTCAGAATTCCTAAAGAGAAGGAGTTCCAGGCAAAGAGGACAGCCTTGTGTTTGGGGGTACTTTCGAGCATAAGCCATTCTCAAAGGAGTTTCCACCTTCGTTGTACTCTCTTCTTTATGTATGAGAAATAGAAAGAATTGTAGAATTCAGTGAGTAAGATCCGCTCTGAACTTGAACTGCAGGAGGCCAATTCCGAGAGATTTCCTGATTCTTTCAGGCAAGTGATCGAACCGGCTCTGCTAATGGTTCTTCTGGGAATGCTGTTGAATCCTCTTGAGAGATGGAGTGAATGCCATGGCCAACCTATTTCTTTTGACAGGCACAAGTGTCCAAATTCGATTCAAGCACCCGAGTTCCGTGGGAATGGATTGCCATTCCTATGAATAGTCTTCAAAAAGAATACACATCCCCCTGCCCACCGAACAATGAACATGAATCTTTGGGAGGACGAGGTGGAATCCTCTAGTTCTCCCGGGGATATGTGCCTGGAAGAGGTGGCGCCAAAGCTGGAATCGTTACCTTTAAGTGGAGTCTGTGCTATCATTGCCAGATAACCTCACTATCTCATTTACGCTTGTGCAAGAAATTCCGCTGATACTCAATATTGAATATTATTTACTAATATGGGTAAGCTTGTCGCTTTGGTAATCCTTCGTAAAGGGTTCTTCCCTTTTCTCTTCTTCGAGTTGACACTTCAGGAATAGCTGTGTCTTTTAGATCGTCCAATCAGTGGTGGTAGGCCAAGATATTTGGTATGTGGATTACCTCTTGGAATGCCAAAAATCTCACCCAGCAAGTCCTTATCATCTTCACTGACATTGCGACTGAAAATCAAAGATTACATTATGTGTTGCCCAGTTAGATGCTCATAACGCCACAGAATCTGTCGAAGAGTGCTCACTTCTTCCACAGCAGCCCTGAGAATATAGAGTCATCGGCGAAGAGCATATGCGAGATAGTTTTGGGGCTTGACCGACTGATTTTGCTGCTATATGAGAATGAAGTTTTTAGAAAAGAGACTAGGTCGTAAGGCGAAAACTCAATGGAGGACGAAAACACGGGGTTTCCTAAACTTTCCACTTTAGAACTTTAGCGCGAGCTCTCTTTCTTAGAACATCTGATCAATCCTACTACCTATGAAGAAAAGAGAGGTGCTGGTCCCCAGGCTCACCGAATCGACACAAAATGGAGTCATTGAAGGAGAATTAGTCATTTTGCTGCTATATGAGATCGAACAATTGAAAAAAGAGACATCTAATAAAGGCAGAAATGGGGTTGACTCATTTACCAGCTATATGAGCATGAAGAAATTCCATTTTCAGATTGTCTTCTTAAAGGAAATTACGTTCTTAGGTTTTCCAGCTATAGGAGACATTTGTTACAGGTCAACAGACAGCCGAGATTCTACTCGAACAAGAAGGAAGGTTGATGAAAGTATGCGTCAATTCCCCCCCTTTTTTAGTAAACCTGTTCAGGCGTTGTTGACAAAGCCCAACCTTGAGAAGAAATACATCAGTCTCAGACGATCTAGATTTGCCTCAATTCGCTCTTGCCTGCTAACCCCGTTACTACATAGAGGGATTCAAGAAGAGAGTCCCTATGAAGCGTGGCCAAGAAAGAGTTGGCCCCAGTCTTACTCGAAGCAGGTCCGAAGGTAGTTGAAAAAGTCTTTGAACTGAACAAGCCAAAGATGCAAGATTGAAGTTAAGACCACCTGCAACATCGCGCCATCTCTCTCATCATTGCCATCATCTACTTCTTTCTGAGCCCTCGTCCCTAAATTCCTTAGTTTAGGCGGATACATGCATAGGTCACTAAGATGAGTTCTGGCATAGTAGTCACCGACGGAAATGGAATTCCTCTCGGGTTGGACAACACCAGATACCCAGTAAGGGAAGAAGGGCTATTGTAACAAAGTTCATTGCTGTCACTTATTGATTGGTCCATGGATCGAAACATGTCTCACGCAAGAGTAGACATTCCGACAAGTTCATGTAAAATTGACCACCATGGCCTTCCTAAGTGAGTAGATTCCGCAAAATAGGAATGGTTGTCGTAAGCTTTGTTGGCCCCGAAAACTCCGATATTTGTCCGAGATTGAAAAGAGAAAAAGAAAGTTCGACTTGCATGTGTTAAGCATCTAGCCAGATCATTGATTCCTATTTGACCCCGGGATCCCTTCTCTAACGATTGGAAATGCTTCCTTCTCTATATGAGAGATTCAGTTCGTGAGATAGTAGCTCGCATGAAGTGACTTGACTTGAGAGGGTCAATTAGAGGAACAGAGGGGCTTTTGAGCTTTCATTTCAGTCATTGATGATCATTCGATCTATATATGGAAATATGGCACACGGATGAAACTGAAGAAAGAGAAGCATTTAGAAGTGCTTTGGCAACATACCCTTATAACCCCCTTGCCTTAAAAGATGACTTCCCGACTGCATTGAGGAAACGAAGAAGACATAGCTCGCATCTAATTGTCTTGCTTCCTTTTTTGTAGTGAGAGAGCTAATATTTTCGTTTTTGCTGTCAAATGTCATTCCTCAACTTCCGCATCTTCGACTTTTACGCGAATAAGGATTGGAAATGAGTTCAATCTGTTTCTTGTTTCTGACTGAGTCGCTTGCTTGTGCGCGGGCTGCTAGGCTGCTATCATCTTAACGCCGAACTGAAGCACTGTGATTTCGCTGACTATGTGGTCAATGCCTTGCCTGGTAGTTTGTTGGAGGGCAGAACTCCACGTGAATTGGAATACTAGATTAGGGATTGCTAATGACTTATCCCACCCGTCAGTAAGATCGTGACTATGACTCTTCTTCGAGCCCAAAAGCTCTTTTTTTGGTCGATCAGTTCATTTCGGAATACCCCCTTGATGGGGAATGTCGGGCTAAACTTGCCATCAGATGATATGAGGAAGAGTACGCAGCTTCGGCTGGGAGACTCGCACTAGAAATAATCTATGAAGATTCCGAGTCACGTCGTCTTGCTGAGCCTCACGCAACAGACCCAAAGAAGGAAGTATGCAGGTCTAGATCTTATCCTGAAGAAATAAATGAAAGAAAAAAGCCTCTTCACCCCCTCAAAGGGTGATACGCGGGTATAGTTATTCTACTCTAGTCAATTTAGAAACACCAGCCAGAATTTAGAAAGAAAGCTAGAGCTTAGGAAATAGCGATACACAATTACTAGAAGGCTCTTCCTTATTGGTTGCGCACGCAATAACTCTTACATCAGCTTTGTATCACTCTCCATAGCAGGTTCAGGTTTGTTCCCCCATCCGTAAACCCTTCATCTTCGTACCTGACGCATCCGGCTACTAGTATTAGCTGCCCCTGCTTCTTCGGATGCCTTTGACTATGAGGCCTATGCCCATGCCTTCCCATGGTAAACTCAATCAACAGGTTCAACTGCGAGTGCTGCTCCTTCCTGCGAGGTAGGGCAGCAGTAGATCGATAGAAAGCAAATGAGATTCAATTTCCTTACTACTAAGCCACCACACCACGGGCAGAAGGACCTATACAGATGAACCTGGCATAGCTATTATAGACCCCTTCATTAACTGACCGTTCAGAATATGCTCATCTTTTTAAAGTCTTTGAACTTAATGCTGAGTTTGTCGAAGGATTGGATCAATACTCTTTCCTCCCACGTAGAATATTGACCTAAAGAAGGAATCCTACATAGCAAACATGAATGTTTGGTATAAGGACAAGAGCATTTTCGAGCGTGTGCCCTTGCCCCTCTATATATGACATTTCTATCGATGCTTTGCCGAATTTCGTGCCCCATGGGAATACAACTCTGATTTAGAGGTAGATTGGGACATTCCTCGGTATAACCTATTGGTATAGGCGTACTACAAAGAAACCTTTGTTCACGTACGATACCCCTGTCTGTTCTCTGTGATCAAAGCAAATTGAAGCTTGGTTCTTCTTTCTTTTTAACCGTTTGCACATGCTGAGGGGTAAGGTGGCGTAGTCAAGTATAGGGGGGTAGCTAAGGAATTTCTTCCAAACTCTCTGGGAATTTCTTACATAATAATATCTTGCACATAGCATGAAAAGGCGTAGCCAAGCCTTACTGTGGACTGACAGCACAGCCACATGATCCAAGCGTTCTGCCGGAGACTGGGTGTCAGATAAGAAGAACCTAACGCCCTAAATCGGTTCCAGGACCTCCGTTCAGTTAGTAGAATGGAAATTGGACTCTCATTCTTTCGCCGATCCGGTCTATCGCCACCATGAGCCTTGCGTGCTGGCAAGGAGGGGGTTTCGGGCTGAAGGCTGTGCCCATACCTTCGTCGGAGACACACCAAACCCCCCAACAACCGCCTATCTCGTGTAATTCTGTGAAATTCTGATCAAACTTCAGATCCACAAGTCACCCTCTTAGCGCACAACCATCTATTCGTCCGAGACCCACTTCGCAGTATATGAAATGTGGCGAAACTCAGTGTGTGATTGGGCATCTCGCAGCTTCCCCAGAATGTGTCAGTTTTGGCTTGGTCCGCGTTTGATCCTTTGATACCGACCTATTTCAATAGGAGAAGCTCGGGAATCTTTCGTATAGGCTTCACCTCTGTTCTCAACCCTTCAGTTCATTCCATCTAACTTATTGAGGAAAGCAAGCGCCCGCTTCTCTTACTTAAATGAATAAACCGATCTGATTCTCCATTTGTGATGCAACATAGAATGAAACGGGTCTCGCTGCTGCTTTTTGAATAGCACTTACAAACCCCCCGATTTTCTCACATTCCAGGGTTGTTGCTATGCCCAAGTCTTGCTTTGTCCCCAGCACGTGATAATGGATCGCTACTGATTCAAGTCCTCCCACACTGAACATTGGGAATAGAAAAATAGATCTCTCTTTCACAACCAAGCGTACCAATACATAGTCAGTTGCACTAAAATGGCCTCCTTGCACCTATAATTCAGTCTGTCGACGAAAGCCTAAAAGAAAAAAGGGAAGTGCCGACACATGAATAGGATAGGTCTTCCCAGCAGATTGATTAGAGAACTCCCCGTGCTTCCTGCTGATGAGTTAGCGGGCAGCTTATCCAATCTGTGCTTTAGTCATAATAAATAGGATTCTCCCCTGCCGCCCTTTCAACCGTACAATCTTCATGCTCAGTAGCAAGGCATCCCCTTTTCTTTTATGATGAGCTATTCTAACTATGCTCAGAGCACTCACTTATGCCCTGTAAATGGAAAGCTTCTGGTCAGCATAGCTTCTCTTGCTGGTAGTATTTCCCTAGCGAAAAGCTAAGAAAAAAAAGTAGTAGGTAATTCAGCATCAAGAAAGTCTCATACATTGGGGTACGAAATTAGGCTGCGCATCCCAAGAAAGATCCGCCCCCGCGTCCGGTAGACGAAGCTTTGGTCTACAGAGGTGTAGAGTTTGGCTAGGTAAGATAATGGGTCAGGGTTCCCCTATCTATACTCTGCTTCTGTACTAGACCTTGCTTTCTGAAGCTTTCAACCTTGCTCCTGTCACCTAATCTGAAGTTCATATGATCGGCCTGGGAAGAGCGAACTAGAATGCCTGGGCCGCTAACAAAGAGCAAATTCTCTGATCCTCATTATCTAAACAAAGGGGTAACATTGGAAATCCATTTCGTAATTCAACCTTACCCGGGGTCAAGTTTCTAGGGCTTACCAAATTCTGATTTGACCTTTAGTACGGAATGGTGGAAAAGACCCGAGCGAGGGAATGAGTTTGATCTTATGAAAAGACTCACACTATATACGGAATTACGTTGAGGAAGATGCGAGTGAGTTCAAAGCATAAGCATGAACTAACAAAACAAAGCAAATATGGTCCAAAACAACGCGAGTCTCACACGCAGATGTTGATTCTCCGTTACACCTTTCACCCCTATAAACCCTGAAAGTTTTCCAGTTTCTTCGGCTACGAGAAAGTGCTCCTCTACTTTTGACACTTCTCTGCACGCTGACTTTCTCTTTTAGGAAACAACAACTACTTGCGCTATTGTTTTTTCTTGTTCTTATCTCTCGGCCTGTCCGGTGATAGGGAAAGTCAAATCTGAGATTCTCATATAATAATGAAATGAATTTGAAGTGGAATGTTCTAATAGGAAGCCTTGCTTATGTCTTGAGAAGGAAGCCCTTCGAACATCTGTAATAGTCATATAGGAGGAACTGCCCATGAACCTTGTTCTTTATGCTAAACAGAGAGCTGTATCCCAGCTCAGAAGGAACGATAGCCAAGGCTAGCTATAGGAGCCATTGAGACCCTGTGATTAAGGTAGCTTACTGCGCTTAGAGAGCCCGTAGACCTGTATTAGAGAGACTGCCCTGGATAGAGTCCAAGCTGCGTAGCCCTCCCCTCCCCAATTTATGTGAGGGAAATCCCGGCTCTCCATATATGAATAAAATTCTTGGGCTAGAATAAGACTTACTGTAGTATTTTAGTAAGCGTATATAAGCAGCTGTTTAGTGTATAAGCAATTCTTTCTTTAGTGGCCGCACCGAAAGGGAAGGTACCGGTGGAGGTTGGTTGAAGATGATGTTACACGGCGTTCAGAACCAGCCTTGAAGTGAATGAATTAGAAAGAACGAAGAAGTAAGGAAATGAGACGACTCTTTCTTGAACTATATCATAAACAGATCTCCCCCTCCACACCAATCACGAGTTTTTCTCTATTCCTCTCGTATATCGTCGTAACGCCCTTAATGCTAGGTTTTGAAAAACACTTTTCATGTCATTCCCATTTAGGTCCGATTCGGATCCCTCCGTTGTTTCCTTTTCCTTCCGCACCTTTTCCTCGAAATGAGAAAGAAGATGGTACACTTGAATTGTATTATTTAAGTTCTTATTGCTTGCCAAAGATCCTACTTCTACAATTGGTAGGTCACCGGGTTATTCAAATCAGTCGTGTTTTCTGTGGTTTTCCCATGTTACAACTTCCGTACCAATTCGGTCGATCCGAAATGGATCGGTTAAACATTCCATTAGGGAGCCTGGTCTTGACTCTTCTGTGTGGTATTCATTCTCGTTCGGCTCTTGGAATCACATCCAGCAGTGGTTGGAACAGCTCGCAAAATCCAACCACTTCACCTACTTCATTGCCCCCAACCATTTCTCGTACCTCTATTGAAACAGAATGGTTTCATGTTCTTTCATCGATTGGTTATTCCTCTCCGTTCGTATCTCTTTTTCCAATTTTGGTCTCGATTAGTTCACAAGATTGAATGGCCAATTATCCTCCGGACCCTCGATTCGATTGTTTTCCAAGAATGTTGAGCCGGGTATTTAAGCCATGTATCTGGGAGGAACTGCAAAGAAGGGCTTGAGGCTTTTTTTCCTATATTTTGTCTTGCAGCTATTTCAATAAGAATATATCAATCAAATTGTCTTTCTATTTCCATTTTCTTATCTAATGAAAAAATCAACAAAAGAGATTCAGATTTTTATTTAGAATCTTGATTCTATATATGTCCAATCCCTAGTGGTGGTGGGACCAACCAAGATGTATGTCGTCCGACCCGACCTCAGACTCTTTCTTCCCGACCTATTTGATTCTCTGGCCGCAGTTATTTAGGCGGTATCCCGAGATTGAAGAGATCTAATTCCTCTCCGGAACACACGAAAGAAAGATATGAACTGGGTAAATAGAAATGGAAAAGAGATGTTGTAAATTCATCCAAATGTGAAGCTTTTTCTACATCCATATGATCTACTAAAGTAGATCGGTATTGCCCATATAATGAAAGCAGATCTTGGTCCATGGAGTCCCAAGAAGGTAAGAACGTCAACCTGTCCGATGCTTCTTCGGCCAAATACGATATACAAGTGGGACCTGAACTATGAGTAAGCTGCGCGAAAAACCTCTTCTTTTTTCCGGTTCCGCAACAACTTGGACGAAATAGGGTTCTACCGGGAAACCATGGATTTTTGAGTTTTCGCCATTGGTTACTGGTCGAGCCACTTACATGGAATGAAATCAGAATCTCTGGAGATCTTTCCTCTCCACTTACTCGTAACAGGCTTTCCCTCTGTAGAAGACTTCTTCCGAATGGCATAATTTTCCAATTTCTTCCTCGATCTTCAAGGAAAACTGACTCCTACTACTCCTCCTTCTCCTTTAGGATAGGATCGTCGTTGGTCCTTCTTTCACTAATGATCTAATGATCTCGGCATTTTCTAGTAGTTCGCGCGAGGTACTATCCTTTCTATCGCTTGCGCTTGCTTTTCACAACGGTCTCTCTCTTCTATAAAGCAAAGCGCATGGCGCTGAAGTGAAGAAAGCTCAATAAACACACACGAACACGATGCAGGGCATAGCATAAATGAGACCGATGATCATTTCATAAAACATATATGCTTGACCTTTCTCGATGCTTTTTTTGGGTGACTCACCAACCGACCCAACAGTGATCGATGACAGAATGATAGAAGCCTTATAGTTCTTCACGCTCCTGAGCTCTCCTGGTCGATAGTTTCTCGACCGACTTATATCAGACTGAACGTCGAAAACACAACTCTTCTTACTTGAAGATATTTCTCTTTTCCTTTCCTTTATGCATTTCTTCGAATCCCTCTTCATCATAGAGCTCCTTGGACTCTAAAACAATCAAGAAAGAAATAAGGGAGTCCAAGAATCTCTTCTCAAATGCAAAGTGTGGCCAAGCCCATGAAGAGTCTCCTCAGGCTCTCGAATACCCCTTCGAGTAGCACTGTGTTACTAGCTGCTCCTCTATCGAAGTAGGTCGGACCCGAATAACGAAAGAAAGATATTCCATTTCCTAGATATAGGATTGAGAATCAATAGCAAAATATCATATTTAAAACTAGAGGCGAGTTTGCGCGGCAGACTTGGCCCTCTTCTAGAAATGCTGACTCTGCTAGGACTCTCCGTATTCCAAGTATTGACTTTCTTAGGTGACTTCCTGCCTGTCTTGTATTGGCGTCATCAAGCGGTCAGAAGAATATCATCATAGATTGAACAATAAATAGAAGAAATCAGTATATTTTAGACAAAGTGATTTTGACTGATCAGAGCGAGCCATTCATTCTTTACCCGCCTTTGACTCTCTATTGTAGAAGGTGATTTCTCTTATGAATTTCAGACTTTAAAAGACAGAACCAGCGTTTGGATTTCTGTAAGTAAAGTACCGGGGAATTACCATGGACGAGTCTCTTCTCGTACTTTTCAGAATCGGGGAATGGCGGGAGAAATCCCGAAGAGTAGAAGAACAAGAATTATGGAATGAATATAAAGTCGAGTCGGTTCCTAGATCCTTCTTATCTAAGTCAAGTATTCGGGGGCTACAATGTTAATAACTAAGTATTCACTTTGCTTTTGCCTAATATATGAAGTTCTATCCGCCTAGCTCTCACGGATGCCATTCTTGTGCTTCCAGTGTCGTTCGGTTTCGAAAAGGCGGATAAGTCTATTTTCGAGCAGAGAATCCAGGCAAGTCTTGCTATTACTACTATGTATGCATTCCATCATTTTCTCCAAAATAATTGCGAGCAAAGGTGCAAGTAAGCAGCAAGTCGACCAATAGAAAAGGGGGGGTCCTTCCCGCGAAAGGATAATCAGAATTAGCAACGTTGAGCGACGTTCTGACTTAGGCCTCAAAAGGAATAGTAAAGAACCTATCCCATTTTTTGCCGGGCAAGTCTCGTACAACAAAGAAAGAATCGTGTCCAGAAAAGAAAAAGGATCCAATCAAGCAGACCCATCTCAAGCAGGTAGGTAAGAAAAGTTCTGACCGGAATCTCCAACTAGCTACAGTGATTTCTCTTTCAAGTTAAAAGAAGCAAGTCGTGCCTATTATGCAATACCCCCTTGGGATGAGGAAACTCTAGGGCCTTGCTCGTCTTTCTTCTATTGGGGTTTCTTTTCCTTATCGGGATGAACCTGTAACAAACAGATAAGGCTCCAAACAACAGGAAGGCTCTCATAATAAGTACTCTGAATCGTTCGTGACAGCTTTCCTTTCCCCATGGCTGCTACCTTGTTACAACTTCCGTACCACACACAATACCCCAATTCGACCGGACAGCAAAGGTGGTCGTAGATCCGAAAGAAAGTGTCTTTCTATGTCAGATTCTTGCGTTGGATCTGGAGAACACCTACATGCGCATGCGGATGCTCACTATTTCGATTCAGAGAATCATTCGATGGGAAAGGCCTCCAGCCCCTGTATCTCTTTTTTTGTTGGAGTTGCTTGTTGACATCAACCCTATAAACTGGGCTATAGGCTTTCAGGCTTGGCTCCTGATGAACGGGCAAGAACCCATGGCGAATTCTGTCTCAGCCTGACGACCACTCCATCATCGTTGCCATCATCACTATCGCAAACTGCCGAGTCAGCTTACCACTTCCGACCATTTGATCCTCTGGTAACAGTTCTTGGCATCTCGGCCTTCACTGGCCTCTCAGATGGGATGGGGGACGACGGCGAGCGTGCCAGGAAGCTTACATCCCTAGACGAGATTAAGTAAGACCAGGTGCTTACATTGGGTTTTGATCGAGCGTGTCAAGCCCCCTTTACTTGCTTCTCCAAAGCGTGCGATGGCCTTACGTTTCCAGTTTCCAATTAGTATAGTAGGGCAAAATCAAGAACGAGCAGTCTCAATTCATTTCACTAGACCCACCAAGGTCTCATCTCAAATCCAATAACGAAGCTTGGCAAGGCTTTCCTTTCAAAAAGCAAGAGTAATAAGATTGAACGATGTGGTGCTCAACGGTTGACTGCATGCCCGAACGGGTATCACATGTTCGGGCATGCACAGGCGACCGGGGGATCAAGTGGTGATTCAAGGTGCGGGCTGAAATGATGGAATAAGAAATGCTTAGACAAGGCTACCTTCCTTCGCTCGTCTAGCCCTCGTACTAGTAAAGGCGCTAGAATCTTGAGTTTGGAGATCATTTCACCGCGCAGGATGATAATACCATTCTCCCATTGATTCTATGACCGGGCAAAACAGTCTTCCGAGCGTACTAGCAAATTTCTCACTTCTTGTTGGGGAAGGTATCAGTTCTGGTCAACGTTCTGCCACGCCTGCGGATCTGCTTCCTGTTGCAGGTGGAACCAAAACCCCTTCCTTTTAGAGATTTTCACTCTCATTCCTTTGTTTTGACTTTCCAGCACGCGTCTTCATAGCCATCAGCGCCCCCGGAGACAAGGCAAGTCAGAACGAGAAGTCTTGCCTCCTGACGAGCCGGTGTCTAGCCAGCATGAGCCGAGCGTTCAGGCCTAGGAGGAACCGGAAAAAATAGACTCTATACCTAGAAACACCAACTCTGATCTGAGTTGGGAAGGGGAGCCGAGAATGGATAGGAGGCTTTGCGGTCGAGCATCCTCTAGTTGATGCGTTCTGCCGGGAAGGAGTTAAAGAAGGAGTATTGATCGCCGGATAAGGATGTTCGGACCGAAGAGTCGACATGTGAACCGGGCCGGGGGGAGTAAGCGCCCCTGTCGATCTACTCTCAGGAGGCCCCTTATGCAGCTACAGTTCATAGGTTGCAGATGCCGGGGGTAAGAAGGGCTTCGTCCCGATCCGATGTGCTCCAAGTTCAACAGGTAGGTGAGCAGCAGAGCATTCCTTCCGCCAGAAAGATTTCCCAAGTTGATAATGTAATTAAGCCGAAGGAAAGAGGCCCGAATGGAGCGGGCAGTAAGGGGCTTGCCTGGCAAGAATGAAGGCTATAGAGGAATCAAACTATGTTTCCACAGATTTCACTTTTCGGCCAACATGTTCTTTTGAAGATGAAGAGGACAAATTGGACGCCATTCAACTGGAAGATTGAAAGTCTGCTCCTGCAAAGTTAGACGACTAATCAGGTAGCGCCCTTGCTTGTAGTGCTTGCTGGTTTAACAGACAAAGAGTGGTGGGGCTGGTGGAGCGTTGTTGAGCCTCCTTCTTTTGTTTCTTAGGTGTACTCCACTTTAGGATTCTCTTTCTTGGTTGGAGTTCTTACGACGGTCGTCTTTCAGAGGCTCTCTGACGCTGTCTACCTTACTTAACCTAACCTATTTCTTTTGAGCTCAACTCATATATATATAAGGAGCCAATCGCTTGTCGGTAAGAGAATGATTTTCTTCTTGTCCTCTTACTATCTATAGATACTACTCGACCCATATAGGAGCCATAAGCGGGATAAGGGGCTTAACTTGAAATGGTTCTTCTTGAAACTGCTCATTTCTATTCAAGATATTCCATTTTTCATTGCTTGCCTCTGAAATTAGCTAATTCTCTATAGATTAGGTTCGTCTCTTGCCTTTTTCTATTCCATTGGTGGAAAGACCATCAAACTGTAAATTGTCACTTACAGACCGAGCGCTCTACATCCCATGTCGTGTTATTCAATCTGCAACTCTCTTTCAACAAGGGCTGGTGCTTTCCCTGCGCGACGACCCCGGTAGAATGATTTGGGGTACTAAATGGGTCTATTCAATTCAAAGCCTAGAGAAAAAGAAAATGAGATTTGAGGAATAACAGGCCGAATCTCAGTGGATCAGGGCTTGCTGCCCGTGTGTTCTTTTTCGTAGCGGAGGCACGCAGATGCAGATAGAGGGCCTGAGTCTTGCCGTGGCAAGCGTCTCAATCAATCCTCTAGGAAACAAATCCTTGCACGGTAGGGGCACCCTAACAACACGATTCAAATATAGAAAAGGGTATTGGTTTTTCGGTCCGGAGCAAAGTGTATTGGATCCCTTAAAAAGGAGGATGCGGATCGACGAACTCAACATGTAAAACGATTCAGAGATCCATTTGTGGGAAGGTTTGCTTTGTGAAAGAGATCTCGTGACGTGTGAGAGATTCTTCTCAAAATGACATGTCAAAAGCGTTCTTCTTCCCGTTCCAGACCCCCTTCTGCATAACATATGCCCTCTATTACCTACCCCATCAACTAGCCGTACCCCCACTTAGCGAAGAAAGAGGAAAGCTTTATTAGGGCAATAGACGTCTTATTACGAGTTTAAGGTCCCAGTTTGAAGGCCATAGATAGAAATGCTGACTCTCCCAGGGGCTTCTGCGACACCCACGGGGGATACCAGACGCCTGTCTGGGGAGACCTACCGTCTCTGTCTCTTTTCCATTCTTCCTATGAGCCCCTTATTTACAGCTTCTGCTTGTCCATTTGCCTGGGCTAAGATGTCTGTGGAGTTTGTCAACTGTATCTTATATGCATAGGCAAAGTTTTGGACCATACTTCCAATCTTTCCGATGAAATCAAAAGCCCATCCTCTGAAAGGCCACGGTTTCACAATTGGCTTCATGTTGATGGCAGTCTTTGAATAGGCCCACGCTTCTGGCAGGCCAAAGAACTTTTCGCGAACTCCATGCAATCTTTCAATATGCCCTGTAAGTAGTAGCCATACCTTTCTTATTAACCATCTCATATTTATTCCAGCTTGATGGGAACCACATATTCCAAGATGCACTTCTCCCATAACTTGCATGGACTCATTCTTGCCAAGACATTGGAGGAGAGTAATCCCACCTCCAAGCTTTTCTTGTAGAGATCTCCGTTTAGTAGCATATATTGAAGTGCAATCTTTTGGATTCTTTTTT